AATCATGTATATGTTGAGACTTTAGCATAAGGAACAGACAATCATGTATATGTTGAGACTTTAGCATAAGGAACAGACAATCATTTATATGTTGAGACTTTAGCATAAGGAACAGACAATCATTTATATGTTGAGACTTTAGCATAAGGAACAGACAATAATTTTTATGTTGAGACCTTAGCATAAGGAACGGACAATCATTTATATGTTGAGACCTTAGCTTAAGGAACAGACAGTCATTTATATGATGAGACTTTAGCTTAAGGAACAGACAATCATTTATATGATGAGACTTTAGCATAAGGAACAGACAATCATTTATATGTTGAGACTTTAGCATAAGGAACAGACAATCATTTATATGTTGAGACTTTAGCATAAGGAACAGACAATCATTTATATGTTGAGACATTAGCATAAGGAACGGACAATCATTTATATGTTGAGACTTTAGCTTAAGGAACGGACAATCATTTATATGTTGAGACTTTAGCTTAAGGAACAGACCATCATTTATATGTTGAGACTTTTCTGTTCCTTATGCTCAATCATTTATATGATGAGACTTTAGCATAAGGAACAGACAATAATTCTTGTAACAGAGTAGCTAGCGCCATATTTAAACACTATCCCATATCTTCTTATATTATTTATCGATCTATTAATGATAAACAACATACTGAATACTAAAGCTGTGTAAAGGTGGCGCTCACATTAGAAAATTAATGCTGAGAAAAAAAATAAACTGGGCAAAACTCCTTAATTGGGCTTTAAAAATTAAAAGAATGTTACAATAGCCAACTTCATTACTCTACATATACCTTATGGTAGTTCCGTTAGAGGCAAATACTCTTCGAAAAGAGGGCCTTTCTTCTTCAGGGACCCCTCCAGTTTACAGGGTATCGTTTTAAGGTGAACTCTTGAACCTACGTTTTTTCTAATATTATAATTTTTCAGTTCGTCACACGTTCACAACATTTGTGTCTTGTAGGCCTTTATCGTTTAACAATGACATGTACGTCTCCATTTTATTGTTTAAAATAATCTGTACGTCCTCACTTTATTGTTTAACAATAATCTGTACGTCCTCACTTTATTGTTTAACAATAATCTGTACGTCCTCACTTTATTGTTTAACAATAATCTGTACGTCCTCACTTTATTGTTTAAAATAATCTGTACGTCTTCACTAGAACATTAAGTAAACACAAGCGGGTTCTTTTTGTAAAACGTATGTTTAAAATTTCATAGAACCCATGAGAGCCAATAATAACTCCATAACTTTGAGTACTTACTGAAACACTGTTTACTTGTACATGCATCAAAACACTGTTATTTTTCTCGATAGGTGAGAGCACTGGAGGGTTCCGGATCCAGGTTAATGACGGAGTTAATAAAGATTCTCCTCACGTGTTCACAGTTACTGCCAGGGAACTGAAGCTAATTCTGCAAGTCAACGAGAAGCTAAGAGTACTTCCCAGGATGCAGCAGTCATTAACAAAGGACCACCTATCAGTGACCACCAATGATAAAGATTCAGAGAGAGAAATCGTGTACTACGTAAGAAAAGAACCAGAAAAGGGCCGTATTCTACTGGAAAACCCCGGTGGTGCCCTATCTCCTGTGACGCAATTTACCCAGGGTCAGGTCGATAAAAATATGTTACTGTACGAACACACGAAACCCATGAAAAGCTTCACTACAATGGACACTATCATATTCGACATTGAAACTCAACATGCTGACTCTCTGAAGGGAGTAGCTTTTAATATCGAAATTTCAGTGGACAGTCTGGGAATTGGAAACCTGGAAGGAAAAATTCAGCTCAATCCACTGGACGTTATGGAAGGAGGTCATTCTTCTATAGGACCAGAACACATTGACCTATCGCGGCTTTTAACTGTGTGGCAAGGTAAAGGTAAAGAGGACTTGACGAGTAACCTTGAAATCATCGTAGAAACCTTCCCTACCCACGGGTGGCTGTCATTAAACAATGAAAATATTTCTGAGAGCAGTCAAGTCCGGTTTAATCGCACAGACATTAGGGACAGACTCTTAGTTTACCACCATGACGATTCTGACACTTTTGGTGATGTTCTCACATTGGGTTTCTATATCTCGGGCGATGAGATGTTCCCTCACATCTTACTCTACAACGGAACTCTTCAGATTAACGTCACCTACGTTAACGACCAGCCCTTTGAACTAATAACGAAGACTCCAAAGATTAACGTCGTTCAAGGTCAGAAGATGGTAATTTCTTCAGATAACCTGTACACCAAAGATTTAGATGGCGTTTCTAAAGACATTATATACGAGATAATAAGTAATGCCACCAATGGTTTTGTGGTCAAGGAAGAAAATGAAACACATCTGGTCCAGAGTTTTACGCAGGAAGACATTGATAAGGATTTGGTGTACTTTGTCCATGATGGAAGTAAAAGTCCAGGGACGTTTCACTTCAAAGTAAGTGATGGTAAGCATAAGCCTGTTTATAAAGCATTCAACATCATTGCGGTGTCGCTGTCTCTTACATTAGTTAACAAAACAACGTTAGAATTTCTACAAGGGACAACTACAGTCACGATTAAACCGAAAAACCTTGGAGCTGCTACTAATGGCGATCCTGAAAATATACTTTACAATGTGACTAAGGAACCAAGATACGGTCGTCTTTTCATTGGAGAGCAACTTATAAGTCAGTTCAAACAAAAAGACATCAATAATGGTTCGGTTTCTTATATGCAGTTGGACATGACAGCCTCGCAGGATTACTTCGTAGTGGCGGTGACCTATGGCGAAAATATTCTGTCGGACCGCATAATCAACGTTACAGTTGTGCCTCTAATTAAACAAGGGCCTTTTGGAGTTCACTCTGGAGACTCGGGTGTCTTAACTTTAGATGTACTAGATGCATCCAAATTAGCGGAGCAGACAGACAGCGATCCGGTGTACTCCATAACAAAGCAGCCTAAATATGGATATTTACAGAAAGTCGCTGCTCCGAGAGTTAGGCGCGAAGCCGAAGCCGTGAAGAGATTTACTCATCACGATATTATTCAGGAGATAATTATTTATAAGAGTAAGGACATTGAGATTCGAGGCTCTGTCGCCGATGTAGTTGAATACGTGTTGACAGCTCCAGGAGTACAGCCTGCTCGTGGAAGATTCGTCGTGATCTTACAGCCTAAGGTCCCATCGTCGTCAGTACAACTAATTAGCGATGTACCGGTGTCGTCGGATGTACCACCGAACGAAACGACTCTGCAACCGGCACTAGACGACAGAGAGCAGGAACTGGAAGAAAATGTTCACACGCCTCAGATCAGCGACGATCACTTACTGATCATTTGTTTAGTAGTGGGAGTGGTAGTTTTGACATTAGCTATCGTGTTGGTCATCAAATATCTTACAACGAGACAAAGGTCTAAGCGGTCAGCAAGAGGTCATATAGACGGAAAGGTTCCTGGATCCCAGACAGCGCAGACAGACCTGAATACCGAGCGTTTCCCATCGAATGGAAGCGGATCTTTGTCGGAACTTCCCCCTGCTGTGCCCCCTACTTCTCCGTCCAGTCTTGCCAGTAGTTGTAGTGTCACTCCTAAGCGAGGAGTCAAAGCCGAGAAGTCAGAAAACAAAGATGTGGACCCTACACTACCTCCCTCTCCTCCTCCCTATGGTGTTGAGGGTAATGAGTGGACAGAAGTAAGCCCGACCGTGCCTACCTGTAAGGTCACACCCCTAACAAAACCAGACAGGCCGGAGGTAAACGAGACGACTTTAAACGCACCCTATAATGGAAAAGATCCTTCCGAACCAAGTGGGAATGAGGAGTGGAGTCGGTACGAAGGCAACAGTATACGCTACGGGGCTTCAAATAATCCTATATTGAGAAAAAACCAGTATTGGGTCTAAAAATAAAAATCTTCAAAAGTGAAAACAATAGATTTGTATTAGTGATCTGACTCAAGGTCAAAAGATCGGGTTGTAGAAATTTGGCTCGGTAAGTACGTTTCCAAAAGCTGTGACTTTAAGGTTCGATCTGATGTATCATAAAGACATTAATACCTATGCCAACTAGGAGCAAACAACGGCAGAACAAGGTATTTAAAGACATTAATACCTATGCCAACTAGGAGCAAACAACGGCAGAACAAGGTATTCTGAACTAAAGCGCAATTACAAAATATTTGTTGCACGCTAAAACACGTCATCCTTTTCTTCATACACGAGAAGAAATTGTTGTTACTATTGAGAATGTACAACGGAACGAAACAGAGTTCATCTAGAAATATTATATCTTGTTAGTCGTCGTATCTATTTCAATCAGTGATTTAAAAAAAGATCGGTTGGAATTTCTTTATATGTTGAATTTATCATTTTCATTGATTAAATAGTCAAATATTTCAAGTTTATTTAAAATAATTCCACTATCTGTGATCTGTAAAGGTCTGAAAAGTTTCCTGTACCCCCTCATTAAGAGCTAAGCCTAATGGTAACTAACAATATATCCCAAACTTTTACTTTATAGTTTGGATGATTAAGAAAGTTGAAAACTACTTGATTAGCATCTGTTTTTAAATTGTGTTCAGCACGGATAGCCCATTGTGTAGCTTTGTGCTTAATTACAAACAAACAATCAACAATAAACAAGTTTTGCAGCGCCATCTATGTACCATTTATTCTCAGTTTCTAGAGTTAAAGTCCTAAATAAAAAAAGGGTAATTGTTTTAAGCTTCATAAATATGTAATTTTTCATTCGAAGTTTGCATAGTATCGTTTCTTGAGAGTTGGAAGTAAATCAGAACTACTTTGTTATAACGTTAAAATCCGGGGTTTGATTCTCTTTGTTGGACAGAGCACAGATAGCTTTGCGAGTTGAGTAAAGTGTATGAACATTAGCAATATCGGTTATTTACACGTGTTATTTTCAGTTTACATATTACTCTAGTTATAAACATGATTTCAACGTACAATTTCCTGTTTGTAATTATACATAGATCTTTTTAAAGATATTTTCTATTTGATATTGTCAGACGAATTTCTCTGTAGGCTGAAAAGAACCGTCAGTAATATACTGAGTTTTTGTTTTGTTAGTACTCGAATTTTAATATGTAAATTTAAGTTTTATATTTGTAAACATTGAACGTTTACATCAGCTGTTTCTACCTTGTTTTAGGTTTATCGTGTAGTATATCCTTGATGTTAATTGTTTCAACTAAAAACTGAGCTTACATTTACAATGATGTCTTCCGATGTAATATTTTGTTACATATGAAAATCTGGTTGAATTCATGCCGTTTGTCTTGTATTATTATTATTATTCACTTTATATTGTTTTGTACAATAATTTAACATTTAACTCAGATTACCTTCTAACTTGTGATGTGTATTTGTTACGATTTGCAATAGAATCCGGGTTTCGATACCCGTGGTGGGCAGAGCACGGATAGCCCATTTTGTAGCTTTGGGCTTAATTACA